GACTCGCGACCCCCGGAAAGTCAAGACCCCCGGAATCAGTGGCCGCTGCGGGACCCCACCCCGCAAGGCGCGGGAAAGCCAACAGGTATAAGAATCCACCCCCCCCCAAAAAAAACACACATACACACACACCCACACTTTACACCTCCATCCACCTCTCTTCTCTACCAAGAGTGACTTGAGGGCACACTTTAGCTCGCCTCTGGACGGGAGGGGCTCAGACCTGCAGTGCTTCTGGGTCGTGACCCCCAATAGGTTGACCAAACCCTGCTAGAGCATGTATTTGCCCAAATAGTTAATGATTTAAGAGAAGACCCGAAGATTCAGAGTTCCTGCAGATTCAGGGGCTAAGCGTTTCCACCGGTTAAGCCTGTAGCCAGATTCCTTACACTCGAGAACGCGTTCCCACCTCTCTAATTCCTTTAGTGAATGTATGAGTTCACTTAGGCTAAGTTGTAGCTTCGCGCTGAGTTTTGTAACGTCGGTGTGTGCGTGCCGCGCTCACAGGAGGGCGGAGTAAGGAGCGACGGTGACCTCGAAGTGTGTTCAGGAGCCTAGGCAACGGCGCAGCGTTCTCAGCTCGGTGGCTTTCCGTCCCCTTCCCCCCCTTTGAAAGGCTGACCCGCAGGGTTGGCGGCGCCGGGGCCCCTGAGCACAACCAGCGTGGGAGGTCTTTGCCCAGCTCGCCCCGCCTCCGCGCGCCTCCTACCTCTGCCCGGGGACTTGCGCTCCCTCTCCCGGCCGAGGTGCTCCCCAGCGCCTCAGAAGGCAAGAGGTGGCTGATCTTCCCAGCCACACTTTTCCTGCCCCTGCTGTGTTCAGTACTAACCAAACTGTTCGTTTATTTTATCGCTCAATTTTTTTTTTGTCCCCCCTCACTTCCTTTCTAGATTTTTCCCCCTTATCCGTCTGCTCGTGGGAGCAGGTAGATGGGTCCCAGCCCACTTTCCGACTGCTCTGACCGTTGAATCTCAGTCAGAGGTTGGAGGAGGGCTGTTTTCCAAATAGGCAACCCTGGTTTGAGACAGGAACTTACTTCCCAGGGACAATGGGAGTGAGGGGAGGCAGGAACAGACGGCTGGGCAGAGTGGGTGGTCTTAGTGCCCGGAACTGAATAGAGCAGAGAACCCCCAGGGACCCCTTGAATGAGAGAACTGAGCCTTGCAGACTGAGATTCCTCAAGTCCCGCCCCTTGGCAGAGGCCCCCCGCCCTGCCCTATGCCTTCCACGTGGAGCTGGATGATCTCATTCAGGATTTCAGCCCTGGCTTTAATAGTGAAAGGGTGACTCAGGGCCCTCTGCCTGCTGCCCTTGCCAAGTTTTTACTACAGCTGGGTAGGATGATACCCATACTGCCTTGCTCAAGCTGTGGATTTTCAAAGGCCGCGAAAGAAACCCTGCTGACACATACATAGACAGTTTGATCACTCTAAGGAGTCCTTGTTGTTTTCTTGTTTTATTTAAAGCAAAACGAAAAACTTTTAAAAATAACATTTGCCAGTTTTTAGAAGACGCAAATATTTGTCTTATTGTTATTCCAGGTGTTTATTTCAGCTTTATTTACTTTGACGTGGTTAACTTTCCTAATATACTCCAGGAAGGTCACTATTCTGAGAGAGGCTGACCATGAACAAACTTTCTTTTCTCTTTTCAGGCCCTGGAAGCATAAGAAAAAAGCGATTTGTGTCCAGTCCCCGCTATGTGGAAACCATGCTCGTAGCTGACCAGTCCATGGCTGACTTCCACGGCAGTGGTCTTAAGCATTACCTTCTCACCTTGTTCTCCGTGGCGGCCAGGTTTTACAAGCATCCCAGCATTAGGAATTCAATTAGCCTGGTGGTGGTCAAGATCTTAGTCATCTACGAGGAGCAGAAGGGACCGGAAGTTACCTCCAATGCTGCTCTCACCCTGAGGAATTTCTGCAGCTGGCAGAAACAGCACAATCCTCCCAGTGACCGGGATGCAGAGCACTATGACACAGCAATTCTTTTCACCAGACAGGTAAGAAGAGTGGTACCAATCACTCTGTCACCTTGTGGTATCTGGATGGATGAAAAATGTCGTCTCATCTACATTGCCTCATTAATTTCCTTTAAAGGGCTAGCTGAACCTGGCTTGGTTATTTCTATTTTATTTTCAACATCTCAAGTTGCACAGTTCCATTTTAACAGCATTAGAGGAGGTCTTGCTTAAAGTGACACGTAGTCTTTCTCGGGGGGTCCCAACAATAATGACTGGACCAGCCCTAAAGCACATGTGAAGACTTGCCTGGCTGAAGAGCTGTGTCTTTGCAGGATCTATGCGGTTCCCATACCTGTGATACTCTCGGGATGGCTGACGTTGGAACCGTATGCGACCCCAGCAGAAGCTGCTCAGTGATAGAAGACGATGGTTTGCAAGCTGCTTTCACCACAGCCCACGAATTGGGTAAGTCAGGTTCAGGGTACAAGGTGATCCCAGTAAGACAATTGACACTTTCATGTATGCCCTGATCAAAGGAGATATTATCCTGCAAACAGGTTGTCTACTGAATACATCCCCTCCTGCAGAAGTGAGCTCCTGAGAAAGGAAGAGTCGGGCTTATGATAGTATCTTAATGTGGGTCTCCTTTGCCTCTCAGGCCACGTGTTTAACATGCCCCATGATGATGCGAAGCACTGTGCCAGCTTTAACGGTGTGAGTGGGGATTCTCATCTGATGGCCTCCATGCTTTCCAGCTTGGATCACAGCCAGCCCTGGTCTCCCTGCAGTGCCTACATGGTCACTTCATTCCTGGATAATGGCCATGGTAAGACACCAGCTACTCTGTCTAGACAGTGTCCAGCCTTCCTGGTATAGGTTTCTGCTGAACAAGCTACAAGGTTCTTGATCAGTTCATTTCCCCTTTTGCAGAATTGCTTTCTCTCCATATATCATAATTTGCAGATCTTTATCCTCAGGGCTTCCTGCTCCCAAATTTTATTCATTCATGTTTTGAACAGAATAATAACTTCTTGCCATTGTTCATCCTGAAGTACCCTATTGAGGACAATGTCTCATAAAAAAAAAAAAAAATCTCCCTGGCATTGGCTTTCCCCAAAATGCTATAATCACAGTGTCTATGTATTGTTTCACACAGCAAATACCTTGTAATGCCATAATCAGTCCATTTTGCATGTTTTCACTAGGTGTGTATTAATAGCTGCCTTTGTGTGTGTGTGTGTGTGTGTGTGCAGGGGAATGCTTGCTGGACAAGCCTCAGAACCCCATCAAGCTCCCATCTGATCTGCCTGGTACCATGTACGATGCCAACCGCCAGTGCCAGTTTACATTTGGAGAGGAATCCAAGCACTGCCCCGACGCAGCCAGCACATGTACTACTCTTTGGTGCACTGGTACCTCTGGTGGCTTACTCGTGTGCCAAACGAAACACTTCCCTTGGGCAGACGGCACCAGCTGTGGAGAAGGGAAATGGTGTGTCAGCGGCAAGTGTGTGAACAAGACGGACATGAAGCATTTCTCTGTGAGTTTTTCTAATGAAGCACACTTGTTTACAACTCAGAATGGGAAAGAACAATATGATATTTAAGGTTCTTACCCAAACTAACTCCTCTACCTGTGTCCCGTAGTGGGAATACAGGATGATAGTGTATTAATTTTGAGAATTAATTCTCTGTTTTACATTTTCTCTAATCCCCTAAAATGTCTCATAAGAGTTCTAACAGTGATGTTTGTATCTCCCTTTAGACTCCTGTTCATGGAAGCTGGGGGGCATGGGGACCCTGGGGAGAGTGTTCAAGAACCTGTGGTGGAGGAGTTCAGTATACAATGAGAGAATGTGACAACCCGGTGCCAAAAAATGGAGGGAAATACTGTGAAGGCAAAAGAGTACGCTACAGGTCCTGTAACATTGAGGACTGTCCCGACAATAATGGTGAGTCATGCTGCTCTTCAACTCTCAGAAACAGGGTGAAGGAGATGAGCCCACGTCTAGGTAACAGTTGTACACTGGAAACATCATCATGTCATTCTCTTTTCAGGAAAAACTTTCAGAGAGGAGCAATGTGAAGCACACAATGAGCTTTCAAAAGCTCCCTTTGGGAATGAGCCCACTGTGGAATGGACACCCAAGTATGCTGGCGTCTCACCAAAGGACAGGTGCAAGCTCATCTGTCAAGCCAAAGGCATTGGCTACTTCTATGTTTTACAGCCCAAGGTAGATACTTTGACACTTGTATCTTTGCTAAGGAGCCAAAGGCCTTGGCTTTCTGCCTTTTCATGAAAATGTTTGGGCTCTCTTTACAATTTAACCTGAATTCAGTTTTGACTTTGGAATACCTCTAAATGCAGGAGCAACTTCTTGCTTGGGGATTTGTGTTGCTTTCGGTGGGAAAGGGAGCTTAAATCTAGCAAGCAAGTGAGAGTCTTCCATGTGCTTAAGATTGCTCCTTTACATCCAAAGTATCGCCCTTTGAAAACTCAATAGGCTCCCTGTATAACTAGGCTTCAGAGACAACAGTTCACAGTTAGATAAATTATATATTAACACAGCATCCAGGAGTTTTAGAAACTAGTCCAAAGTACTTGTTACTGAATATGGAGCAGCCTCACACACAAACATACTAATTAAGGTGAGAGTCTAAGCGTTGAAAATTCATTGTTGGAGCACGTACTTTGAACAAAGATACTCACCTTTTCTTTTGAAATTTTGCTGAGGGGATAAGTCTTACTCTGAAGCAGAAAATGAAATTGAATTTGCTTAAGGTTGTCATGGATCCTTAGCATTGTAAGATAGGAACACAAGTCTGTGTTGCAGATGAAATATTTAGCAAGTGATTTGTGAAGTGCCGTCTACTGCAGCATATTATTCTAGGCACTGAAGGTTGGAGCCACAATCAAACTGACAGTGAACACTACTCCCATTGACCGTGGCAGTGGGGGAGATATGTCAGTAAACAGATAATCAAGACATCTATAAGCTTTGCAGATAGCTATTGAAAAAGACCCAATGAAGGGTAGCGTGTGGCGCTTGAGGGAGAGAATGCTCTCGGCATCGGAAGAGAGCAAAGAGGAGAGCCTTTCATGGTTGCCATCACATGCCCATGCCCCCTTCACATTAGACCTTTAACCACCGGGTGCATCTTGTCTCCGCAGGTTGTAGATGGCACTCCCTGTAGTCCAGACTCTACTTCTGTCTGTGTGCAAGGGCAGTGTGTAAAAGCTGGTTGTGATCACATCATAGACTCCAAGAAGAAGTTTGATAAATGTGGTGTTTGTGGAGGAAATGGCTCCACATGCAAGAAGATATCAGGATCAGTCACTAGTACAAGGTGAGATTCAAAACACAGACTTCAGGAATGGGAATGTAACTCAGTTGGGAGAGAGTCTGCCTAGTATCCACAAGTCCCTGGGTTCAATCCCCAGCACTGCATAAAAGCTGGTGTAGTGGTGTGTCTGTAATCCCAGTACATAGGAGGCAGGGACAAGAGAGACGAGAGGGTCAGATGTCCAGGCCATCTTTGCCTATTTAGTGAGTTTTGAGGTCAGTTTGGGTTACATGAAACCATATCTCAAAAACCAAAAACACAGAAACAAAACAAAACAAAAACCACAAATACTTCATGTAATTGCTATGAGTTCTAGATGAGCCTGGACTAGATAGTGAGTTCTAGGATAGCCTGGGCTAAAAGTGAACCCTCATCTCAACCACCTAAAATTAATTAACTACTCAACATGTGAAACAAAACGCATACTAATTTTGACAATACCATTCTGGTGGAGTGAGGAAAAGTCATATCTAAAAGAATTGCATATTTTTGTTGGGCATGGTAGTGTATGCCTTTAGTCCCAGCACTCAGGAGGCAGAGGCAGGCAGACCTCTATAAGAGGCCAATGTGGTTTACAAAGCAAGTTACAGGACAGCCTCAGAGGTTACACAGAGAAACTTTGTCTCATAGAAGGGAGAAGAATTGCATATCTTTAAGCAATGCGGTTGATTAGCCAGTGATTGAAAGACATGCCTATTTTCTTTGTCTGCAGACCCGGTTATCATGACATTGTCACAATTCCTGCTGGAGCCACCAACATTGAAGTGAAACACCGAAATCAAAGGGGGTCCAGAAACAATGGCAGCTTTCTAGCCATCAGAGCTGCAGATGGGACCTATATCCTGAATGGAAACTTCACTCTGTCCACACTAGAGCAAGACCTCACCTACAGAGGTACTGTCTTAAGATACAGTGGCTCCTCAGCGGCGTTGGAAAGAATCCGAAGCTTCAGCCCACTCAAGGAACCCTTAACTATCCAGGTTCTTATGGTGGGCCACGCTCTCCGACCCAAAATCAAATACACCTATTTCGTGAAGAAGAAGAAGGAGTCATTCAATGCTATCCCCACTTTTTCAGAGTGGGTGATTGAAGAATGGGGCGAGTGCTCCAAGTCGTGCGGATCAGGTTGGCAGAGAAGAGTAGTTGAATGTAGGGACATCAATGGGCACCCTGCTTCCGAGTGTGCAAAAGAAGTGAAACCAGCCAGTACCAGACCTTGTGCAGACCTGCCTTGCCCACACTGGCAGGTGGGGGATTGGTCACCATGTTCCAAAACTTGTGGGAAGGGTTACAAGAAGAGAGCCCTGGAATGTCTGTCCCATGATGGGGGAGTGTTAGCAAACGAGAGCTGTGATCCTCTGAAGAAGCCAAAGCATTACATTGACTTTTGCACACTGGCAGAGTGCAGTTAAACAGTTGTGAGAAGCAGGTAGCATGGGAGGGCTGATACACTGAGATCAAGAGTGCTGGAGGGAACCCATGAATCAAACCAGTAACCAGTGAGGCCTGCCAAGGAGGCGTGGGGGGTGGGAGTTACATAGCAAAGGGAGAGATCAGGACACGATCCTGCCAGTTAAAATTTGACGAGGTAGTTAATGAGGACTGTTAGCATCTGAGAGACCATATGTAGCACAATGACGCCCCAGAGCGTTACTAGTATTTCTCTTGTTAACATCTATTGCAGGAACAATTGTCAGAAGAGTTTGGGAGAAATCTGGCAAGCCCTTGTTGCATGGTGCTTGGGAAAGGCAAAGCAGAGGGAAGGTGCGATTGTATTTCAAACAGGGCTTACTTTATGCCACTGGCAATGGTGGCAGGGAGAAGGGTTTCGAAGTTTCTGACACCGTTTCAGAGAATGTTGGTACATCATTTCTATCAATAGTGAAATAATCGGGTTGCTGAACATAAGTGAAATGGCTCCTGGTTCCTTCTTACACCATCTCAGTTTTTTCCAACTATAATTCATGTTGCATTAGAAACAATTCACCTATCTATAAAATGTACATTAATTCAAAAAGGAAAAAAAAAAACAAAAAAAAAACAACGAACTATGTGAGGTGCACGCAAAAACTCAAGGAAACACAATGAGCAACATGTCCCCTGCCTTGCCTTCTCCTGAAGTCAGCACCTGGGGACTTTGGATGCTAAGGATGATCCATGTTTCACAAAAGGCAGTAATATCACACACGTCAGTGTCCTGCCAGAGTAACAATGGGGTGTAGAAAAAGGGTCCCCTGAGATTGGGACCGTGGAGATCGCTTGTCTTACATTGTAAGCTGCTGCGGGGTAGCAGGTCCACTCCTGGCAGCTGGTCTAACAGTCGTATCCTGGTGAATGTCTGTTCAGCTCTTCTACTGAGAGAGAATATGGCTGTTTCCATATGTATATGTATATAGTAAAATACATTACTATGAATTATATGTACTTTATAAGTATTGGTTTGTTTGTTCCTTCTAAGAAGGACTATAGATTATAATAAATGCTTATAATAACATATTTATTTTTATACATTTATTTCTAATGATAAACCTTTAAGTTATATCGCTTTTGTAAAAGTGCATATAAAATAGAGTATTTATACAATATATGTTAACTAGAAATAATAAAAGAACACTTTTGAATGTGTATGTCTATTTTCTGAGGTGGGATTAATTCCTGGGCAAGAAATCTGAGGAGACACAAATATTGGATTTTGAGACAGGTTTTATGATTTTGGTGAATGAACTGTATTTCCTGTTTGTAGAATTATTAATAAAAAAGAAGTTGATGTGTCTTTAGTGGTAAGATTGTTGCTAATGTGGTTGGCAAATACTGTAAAGAGTCAGATAGTAAGCATTTATGGCATTGTAGGCTATATTTCCTGTCATGACCATGTGACAGTGAATGCTTGTGTAGGAATGAGAACAGCCATAAACGATATGTAAATGATTAACCATGGCTGTGTTTTAATAAAACTTTATTTACAAAAAAAGTGATGGGCCAGATTTGTTCTGTGAGCTTGTTTGACAACAATAAACCTAAATAGAAAATGATTCAGCTTATAGATGCATTTTGGGTTTTTGTCTCCCTTAATTATGTCAAGTAAGCAAGAATGTACAAACATGTTTAAGGTATAGAGTAGCAACACTGCCTCACACATTTGGGACAGTTATGAGTGGCGAGTTAACACTTTGAAATTTTTGCCTCCTTCAAGAGTAATACCAATGTGTTTGCAAGAAATTCAGGACTCTAGTCTTTTTGTAAATCATTGTGTTTTGAAAACTAAGTGGTGCATAAGCAACTACAAGTTTAAATTATTTCCATTATAATGTTACTTTCAGAAAATTGTTTGCTAGAAACCAGACAATGTACTCAACTACTGGCATTTCTGACTCCTCATCATAATTTTTCTTACAAGCTGTAATAAGATGCTAACTTCATCTTCAGTTACTTAGCAACTGAACAAATGTAGTGGGATTAGAGACATCAATTTCGTTAACTTTTTATAATGCCTGCATTAAAACTCAAAGAAAAAACACATCTTTGCACATCATTGAATAAGCCTTTAAATGCAAAACTTGACTATGTGATCCAGCAGCCCATGTTGCTTGTGCCAGCAATCTTCATTGACATTGGCTTGTCTTTTAGTATGGCACAAATTCCTATGGTGAGTGACTAGGAAAATATATACCTACGAACCCTGACTGCTGTCTTCCACACATGACACCCGATCAAAGGTTCATATATTGCCGTGAAAACCTGTAACATGAAAAAGTTCTTTATTGAACTTTATTCATTCACTAAAAGATTTATTGGAGTTTCACCAAGAGATATTTTTTCTTAAGCAGCTTTAGGAGACTTGATGTAGCAAGCAACAACTCTAAAATTCAGGGCATGGGCCTGGAAAGATGGCTCAGTTTTTAAGAGCACTTGAGGCTCTTACAGAGGACCCTAGTTAGGTTCCCAGGCAGCTCACACTCATCTGTAACTCCAATTACAGGGGTCTAGCACCCTTCTTTGACCAAACCAAACAGGTAAGTGAAATAACAAAGTACAGGATTTGAAACCTGAATTCAAAGACGAGATAGAAATACTAAAGAAACCTCAAGCTGAAAGAAAGATGAAAGTGAAGCATTCAAAATTAGAAAACTCATAGGTGAACCCCACTGGCAGAAGGGACCAAGTAGAAGACAGCTTGTCAGGACTTGAAGAGAAAGTAAATGTGTGCTTATCTGTGAAATTAACAAAGAATAAAAAAAAGTTACAAAAATTGGGATTTTAAGCAAAACCAAAAGGAGTGTATAAAGCTGAAACTAGATCAACAAAACAATTAATTGATAAAATAGGTGATGCATAGAGACTATATATTTTTTCTCTACAGTTATGTCACAGTTTGCATTCTACTGCTGTGATAAAACACCCCAACCAGAAGCAAATTGTGGAATATAGGTTTACTTAGTTTATATATCCAGATCACAGTTAATCTTTGGGGGAAGCCAATTCAAGAGCTCACACAGGGCAGAAACATGGAGTCAGGAACTGAAACACAATCCATAGAAGAATGCTGTTAACCGACTTGCTCAGTCTGCTTATGCAACCCAGAATCAACTGGCCAGAGGTGGCACTGTCCACTGTGGGCTGGGCCCTTTCATATCAACTATTAATCGAGAAAATGCCCCACAGACCTGCCCTGCAGCCAGTCTGATGGAGGCAATTGAATGTGTCACTTCATACAAGTATCTGTGTCAACCTGATTGAACCAACCAGTTTACCATCCCACAGTCGTAACGTAATTATTATCATCAGTTATGAAAACTTGACTATTTCATATTATAAGCTCCTAGAACCTTTCTTTTTAATACCAAGAGACAGAAAGATTTTAAAGAGAGAGGCTGAAAATAGAACTGAAGGTACAGACTACGGAGTACAGCTAAAAGATTTAACACATCGGCAAGGATGGGAAATCTTTGGTTTTTTGGTTTTTTTTTTTTTTCCTGTAGCTCTTTCTCCATATGGGCTGTGTTATTTTTGTTCATAATTTCCCTCTCACTTTCTTCTTTCAAGTGGCCTAAGAACTGATCAGGTCCCCTCTGTATTTCACATGAAAGCAAAGACATGCACCACAAAGAACTGAGGAGCAGGACCACTGCTGAGCTTAAGAAGCATTAGAAGTTTCATCTGACTTTTCCTTTATTTCCAGATGGCTTACTTGGTTCTAGAACATGCAGAATTTTTAGCTCCAAACTTTTCACCAAAGTCACTAACAGAATCAGAGCCTAGGCCTGCATTATCCTGTCTTATTATCCTGTCTGAAAAGACATTATCCTGTACATTAAGACAGGATAATGTCTTTTCAGACAGGATAATGTCTTTTCAGAGTATGACAGAGGTGACAATAAAAAGAACACTTATTCCAAAGGGGAAAGGGAAGCTCAGGGACAAACATTGTCCTGGCTTGATAAGCAAATTCTGGATAAATGATAATTAGATAGAGGCCTTTATTTTAAACAATAAGGTACCACAATCTAAAATACTAATTTTCTGGGTCTCTGAACAAGGTCTTTGGTTCTTAAAGGCCCATGGAGATGATGTCTAGTAAGTAAAGTACAAGGAATTCAGAAATGTTCTTTGTAACATTGGGATAATATCTCCTAGTGATTGGATGTTAATTGAATCTTTTGGCTTTCTAATTTTAAAAACCGTAACAATGTCCTATGGGTGAGCGGTAGTGATAATATGGAAAACATCTAGCATTGACCATAGTTTGGTGTGCATTTTATGCTCACATTTAAATTTGATTTCCAAATTCAGCATGCAAGACTGACTGCTAAAACTTGCAGAATATCTTGTTTAATCTTTGCTCTGTCATCTCCCTTTTCTCCAGCTTCAAACACTGGATGCTTAAAGTTATGCCATTGTGATCTTTTAAAAATCTTTATTGTCATTCATGTGCATTTGAAGCCCTTAAATATTAAAAAGTATATATATATATATTAAACAATCCTTTGCTTCTAGAAGAACTCTTGGTCTCATAAACTATGAATATTTCTAGGAAACAGGCTGGAGACTACATGAGATGTTGCAGCTGGTGTGGAAGTACACACCTGTAATGCCACCATGTGGGTGCTTTGGACAGAAGGATAAAGAGTTAAAGATCATCAAAGGCTACAAAACCAGACCCTCTCTCAAAACTAAACAAAACAAAATACTGAGACAATTGAAACACATTAGAATATTCTTAACATGACTGGATTTGTGTGTATGTGGTTACGTCAGTTTTATTGTCTAGGTCAACTGAACAGAGAAGATCCACTTTCAGTATAGGGAGGCATCATTTAACACACTGGAGATCTGCATGGAGCAGGACTCCCCAGTCATAAACTCCCTTTGCCTCTTCTTTCTGAAATGACTGAGTTATTTTCTATGCTTCTCTTGGACCCTGGGCTTCAGGTCCCAAGTCTGTGATATTTGCAAGGAGGTCTTCTGGTGTCCTCAAGGTTCTGAAGAGTCTAAAATATTGAATTTACCCATACCATTGAATTTCTATATCCAATTTGCAAAATTTTTCAGTGTCCCTGATTATGTAATTCTGTGAGTCAATTGAATTAATTCACATGTGTGTATAAAATATGTAAAATGCATGTTTGTTTAACAAATCTATACACTATTGGTTTTGCATGGAATCTGAGGTGTGCTATGTTCTAATGACCATAATTTGTGACACTTGTCAAACCTGACTATAGCATCAGACAACCTGGAAACCCTTAGATATGTGCCTGAGGTCATTTTTGGTCCAAACTCATGGTTCTGTTTTTCTGGGGAATCATGTGGGAAATCAAAGCTATCTAGAGAAACTGTTGACTGTAAGGATATTATTATCTACTGTAAAAAGTTATTTCAAGTTATAAAGGCAATGGCATGCCTGTTCTGAGAAGCATGCCAGAGTTTAAACATGTAAAGTGACCTCCAACCCCATAGCTGATAATTAAGGACTATAACTTAGAAGCCGAGGGCATACATTGTTCCAAGAAATCCAAGGAACAGGCCTCTAGGAAGCACACTCAGAGCTCCTTTGAAGACCTGTCCCATTGCCTCCCATTGCCTCCCAGAATTTCCTTTTCCTTCCAAAAAAAAAAAAAAACCCTGAAAATAGCATCCCCCCAGTTGAGTGGCCTACTTTATTCATGATATCTGTCTACAAAAGGCTTTCACTGTATGGAAAATAAAACCTTCTTCAAGGACAGATTTGCCAACACAGGACATATTCCAAGAAGGTTCTGTAGGTTGTAAAGGTAGTTCCAGGGAATTCATTCCTAAAGTATTTCAAAAGTTACTAAAGAACATTTGTTTATTGTCCTTTCCTATCTATTTTGATGAGTGAGATTATAAGTGACTCACAGATGATTCAGGTGGAGTTGTGATCTGATAAAACCAGAAGCCACCAGAGTTGCACGAAGAGTTTAGTTCTAGCCTTCCCTGCAAATGGGCTGCATGTGGGATTCCTAGAAAATTGTAGGTTTCCCATTAGGAAGGGAGGAAGTCATTAAGTTAATTGTTAATTGTTCATTGTGCTAGAGCTCTGGCTGCTCGGCTTCAGGCCTCATCTCAACTCTAGAGTGAGGGGCTCCCCTGCTTACTCATCTCCTCGATTTTCTCTCACTTTCTGCCTTGTCTCAAAGGGCATTGGACAGCCTAGACTCCAGACTTGGCTTTCCCATTTGCTTGCTGTGCTCAGCGCCTTGTCTTGACTTTCTCCCAATAAAATGGGAACTTGCTTCTTACTGGTGGGATGTGGATCAAATTCTCTAACACCTGTAAATGCTTAAACCAATAGCCGATAATACAGTAAAATCTACTGATCCTGCTATGTTGGTAGGTACTAAGGTAGCATATTACAGTCAGACAATTTTTAGAATTTCTTTCCAGAAAGCTTTTATCTGGAGACAGAGGGGCAAGTCATGTAGTACTTGTTCTCTCCTTTTGACAGAGACCTTTGAAGCAGGATAGAAAGACAAGGACATATGTGGGGATGTGGAAAGGACAAGGAGCCTTT